CCTGCCACGAACATAGTTTTAGCACGCCCGGTGGGATCTCTCTTTTTTATCAAAGAGATATGTCAAAAGGATCAGAAGATTTGCAAACTGCTTTGTTACATATGCTACAAAGACTGGAGAACTCCTCCGCAGGCTCCAGAAAGAAAGATGACTCAGTTTTAAAACCACTTTTTCCTATGTCTTTACCTCACCTTGGGGAGAAAGATGATAGGGAGAAGAGGGGATTTAAAATCAACCAACAAGAAGAACCAGCGGTGAAGGATAAACATACGGATCCCTTCTCAAAGGCCCCTATAAATATGATCAGTATGGCCTGGGCAGAGAAGGGAAAAAAGAAAGTCACAAGAGAGGAAGAAAGAAGGTTGGTTGACAAATCCATAAAAGGGGTGGTTAACGTACCCAAATATCCAAGAGCCGCCATAATCAAGGGAAGGGTGTTGTGCAGCAAGTGCCAATGCGAATGTGAGCTCGAAATACCGCCCACGAGAGCCCTTATGGATCATGAATTGATTAGGAGAAATGAAGAAGAAAGGAGAAAAGAGGCACAAGAAAAAGCTCGGTGGACTCCAGGAAGGGATACCTCTCGAAGTGTCTTTCAGCGATTAAGAGGTGATTCTCAACCAAAGGCTTTATCAGAAATATTTTGCAACCATGAAGTTTCTGAGGAAGCATAGGATGGAGATGCCAAGAAGCTAAAAAAAAGGAGCATAGAACATTCTCACGACCGTATGGGAAGAGAGGTCAGGAGGATTGATAGGATAACAAACCCTGTCAAAAAAGATAATCCTGCCCGCCTCGGGCGAAAATGGTATATGGTTGGAAAAAATGGACAGCCTGTTAAGCAGATGGGAGCTTCTATGGTTAGAAGGGTTCAAAGGCAACACAAAGCCTATATGAATTCCTTAAAAACCCCTACAACTTCGCAAACCTCCAAAAATCAAAAGTTGGAGAAAACATCATCCGGGGGGAGTAGTCAGCTCCGCTGGAGGAGTAAGAAAGAGGTGGAAAGGGCTAATAGCAAGACTGAGGGTGAAGGAAACCATGTGCCACAAAGCCTACACCCTGGAAAATATAGAATCTTGAGGAGAGCTCAAGAGGATATGATTATGGAGCCAACTCCTGGATGGAGGCCAGAGCAGCCTATTTGTTTTGGAACTGTTTCACTAGAGGGAAAACAACCTTCTCTATCATTAGTGGAGCCCTTCGGGGAAGTTCCAAAGCAAACACTAGGTGTGAATCAGCTAAAGGGGGCACCAGAACCACTACTTCCACCAGATGCGATGGCTTGGTTGGATGAGTTCATGGACCAGATTGGAAGCAAAAAAGAAGAGCTGCCAGAACCCAGCAACTTTCATATAAACATGGCGTATATATTATCCGCCATGTTTGGTGCCCAACCAAATCAGCCCGCCACCATGGAATGAGATTACGTGACAACTGAGCCAATGATGGCTCATGTCAGCGTAGAGGTAACTGAAGAAGGAGAATCGAGGGAAGCTGAATCATCTGAAGCGCCTAAGGATGGTCATTTGAGGATCTATACAGATAAAATGGTGTTCAGCTGCCCAAGTATTTCACTTGCCAATCATCTGAAACCCATTTATGTTACAGCCCATGTGGAAGGAGTACCTTTCAAAAGAGTGCTAGTTGATGGAGGAGCGGCTGTTAACGTACTGCCAGCCAAACAAATGAAAAGGTTGGGGAGAGGGACTGAGGATCTTATTCCTACAGACCTCACTGTTTCTAGTTTCTCGGGTACTATCACCAAAACTCATGGGATATTGCCTTTGGAAGTAGATTTGGGGTTTAAACAGATTATGCTGGCATTCTTTGTGGTGGACTCCACCTCCACCTATGGAGCCTTACTTGGAAGAGATTGGATCCATCAAAGTCTTGCTATACCTTCTACTCTACATCAACAGGTGGCTGTTTATCATGAGGCGAGCGCAGAAGAGCCAGGTTTTTGGGAGATGGTAGAGGCCGAATCACGGCCATTTCTTCCCACAACCAACATAGCGGAAGTAAGTTTCTACAATCCCAATGTAGGAATCTTGAAGTGTTTGGGAGCAGATGAGAACGGCCACCCTACCAAGGTAACGGCCCAAAAGCTCCTAGAACAAGGAATGCTCCTTACCAGAGAGGAATGGGATAGACCTTGTATCGTCCCAACACCCCTACCCCATAAATGACAGAACAAAAAAAGGAAGGATCATGTAATAGCAGTCAGATCCCTGATTAAACGACTGTTAGTGTATGGGAAAAGAAAAAGACAATAACAGAAGCTCTTTGTCAAAGAAGAGCATGAATGGCAGGTAGGAGCTTCAACCAGCCAGGATAAAAGCAAGGAGGAATCTTGTCGAGAAGAATTGGAAAGGGCCATTCAAATGGCCGAGTGCATATACGACCTAGATGGGCCCGACGACTTGCCATAAAGCCCGGAGCTGGTCGATTTTTTGTGTGCAGAACCTGATAAGCCACCGCCAGAGGTCCAAGATCCTTTGGAAGTTATTGAGCTAGGAGCAAAGGAAGATCCAAGACTAATTCAAATCAGTGGTTTATTAGAGAGCGAGGCTCGAGCAAAAATTATCTGTCTCCTACAAGAATTCAGAGATTGTTTTGCTTGGCATTACACCGAGATGCCGGGTTTGGATCCAACCTTGGTGGAACACAAAATGCCCATCAAGGAAGGATACAAGCTGGTTAAGCAAGCACCACGGAGGATGTCAAAAGAGATAGAAAAGAAGGTCAAAGAAGAGATTGAAAGACTCGTAAAAGCCGCATTTATTAGGCCAGCCAAATATGTGGAGTGGTTAGCCAATATTGTACCTGTTTTAAAAGCCGTAACAAAGGCAGTACGATGTTGTGTTAATTACAGAAATATTAATAGCGCTACCCCGAAAGATGAGTATCCCATGCCCATGGCAGATTTATCCATAAATGCAGTAGCAAAACACAAAGTCTTATCTTTTATGGATGGAAATGTCGGGTATAATCAGATTAAAATGGCTCAGGAAGATATACATAAAATAGTTTTTAGATGCTCGGGGCATGTGAGGGCTTATGAATATCTGGTCATGCCATTCGGGCTCAAGAATGCTGGCGCAACATACCAAAGGGCAATGAATGCCATCTTTCATGATCTGATTGGCCATAATATGGAGGTGTATATTGATGACATCGTGGTGAAATCCAAGACAGAGGAGCAGCATCTGATAGACCTCAGGCAGGCGTTGACAAGAATGAGAATCCACAAATTGAAGATGAATCCAAAGAAGTTCGCGTTTGGGGTGAGAGCGGGCAACTTCTTGGGATTCTTGGTTCATCAAAGAAGTGTAAAAGTGGACAAAAACAAAGCACGTGCAATAATGGAGTCACCTTCACCTACCAACAAAGTTCAACTCCAGAGGCTGCTGGGCAAAATTAATTTCTTAAGAAGATTCATTGCCAACCTAGCAGGCAAGATCCAGCCACTGACTCCTTTATTAAGACTGAAGGATAAGGAGAATTTCGAGTGAGGACCACCACACCAAGTGGCTTTCGATAGTATCAAAATTTACTTAACTTCTCCACCAGTGTTGGTACCACCTCAAAGGGGAAAACCCTTAAAACTATATATCTCAGCTTCAGAAAAATCAATCGGGAGTTTGCTAGCTCAAAATAATGAAGGAGTAAAAGAGCAGGCAGTATACTACCTCAGTAGAATTCTGACTGAGGTAGAAACAAGATATTCCCCAGTGGAGAGATTGTGCTTAGCTTTGTATTTCACTGCTAACAAGCTAAGGCATTACATGTTACCTTGTCACGTGCACATTATTGCCAAGACATACGTGATAAAGTACATGTTGTCAAAACCAATGTTGACAGGAAGGATTGGGAAGTGGATTCTAGCATTATCCGAATTCAGCTTTCAGTATGTCCCCTAAAAAGCGGTCAAAGGCCAAGCAATTGCTGACTTCTTGTCGGAGCATCAAGAATCTCGAGACGAAGTAATCAATATCCCAGGAACCCTGGAAGTTACTACTGTTTGGATTCCGCCAAGTCAGGGGATCTCGGGCAGAGAAGAGTGGATCCAGCAGGAGATAAGAAGAGTGGCTGGTTTGTGGATTACTCCTCGGAAGCTATATTTTGATGGTTCCTGCACTCAGAAAGCCGCGGGAGCTGGAATTGTAATTATCAACCCTCAAGGAGTTCATCATTATTACTCATTTCTTATCGATTATCAAGGGAATACCAATAATCGAGCAGAATATGAGACCTTAATAATTGGTTTGGAAATCTTGATGGATCTGGGGGCAACAGAGGTAGAGGTGTTTGGTGATTCAGAATTAGTAATAAACCAGCAAAATGGGGAGTTCAAGTGCAGACATATCACCATGGCCGGATATTAGTTGGCGGCCACACAATTGCTGAGCTATTGGGATTCTGAAATATCAGTTGGTCATGTTCCCAGGGGAGCCAACCCAGCGGCTAACGAGATGGCGCAACTAGCCTCAGGTGTGCCAATACAGGAAAGAAAATATGGGGTAGATATCGAGGTCCAAAAAAGAAACCTTCCTTCTATCCTAGAAAGGGGATTCAGTTTGGATATAAAGGTTCTAGAGACCGAGGTAGAAGATTGGAGGTCACCTATCATCCATCATTTTAAAGATCCCTCTTCACCCACCAGCAAGAAGGATAGGCAGCAAGCAACCAAATATGTTTTATGGACAAAAGACGTGCTAAGGAAGACTCCAGACGGGTTACTACTAAAATGCTTAGGCCAAGAGGAATCCATAAGAGTAATGGCCGAAGTACATGAAGGGATATGTGGAGCTCATCAAGCTGGAACAAGGATGAGGTGGTTACTTAGGAGGTATGGTTACTTTTGGCCCGATATGGAAAAAGATTGCAAATCCTATGCCCGAGGATGTGAGGAATGTCAAAGGCATGGCCCTCTCCAACATGTACCCTCAGTACCTTTAAATCTAGTAGTTAAGCCTTGGCCCTTCAGATGATGGGCAATGGATTTCATCGGGCAGATCTATCCAGCTTTCAGCAAAGGGCATACTTTCATAATTGTGGCAACGGATTACTTCACCAAATGGGTGGAAGCATCGGCAGTAAAATCCATAACCTCAGCCACGATAAAGACTTTCATCGAGACCAAGATTTTGTATAGGTTTGGGGTGCCCGAAACTATAGTAACGAATCGTGGGCCATCTTTTATCTCAAAAGAAGTTGAAGAATTTGCAAGCAAATACAAAATAAAGATGATTCAGTTCAGTCCTTACTACCCATAGTCAAATTGCCAGGCAGAATCCAGCAACAAAATTCTGGTAAATATTATCAAAAGAATGGTGATGGATAGTCCGGAAAGGTGGCATGAGAGGCTAAGGAATACTCTGTGGGCATACAGAACTTCCAAAAGGGCAGGAACAGGGACAACTCCCTATGCTTTAACTTTCGGGCAGGATACAATGCTTCCCATGGAAATCAATATGAGTTCTGTTAGAATTCAAAATCAGTTTGGATTACATAGTGAAGAATACATCGAAGCCATGTGTCAAGGGATTGAAGACTTAGACGTGGCCTGAATTGAAGCCATGAACCAGATTCATGAAGGAAAGAAAGCTGTTGCCCGAGCTTATAACAAAAAGGTGAAGGTGAAGTCTTTCAAAGAAGGAGATTTAGTATGGAAGACAGTCCTCCCTCTAGGAGCTCAACTTAGAGGCTTTGGGAAATGGAGCCCGACATGGGAAGGTCCTTTCGTGATTAGTCGAGTCTTGGACAAAAGGGGATATTACTTGGCAGATCTCAAAGGGAATTGGCAAAAACATCCCATTAATGTTAAATTCTTGAAGAAATATTGTCCTACATTATGGGATGTTAGAGATTGTTATATTGAAGAAGATGCAAGGTAAAGCAGGTTTCAGGATGCTAAAAGTGCAGTGTATATTCATCAGTCATTCAAGAAGACAGAAAGACACAAAATAGTTAAGATCATGTTTATTTCATTTCGACAAATTGGTGGAATTTACAAGCAAATTCAATTCAGTTCTGATATGCTGCGTTCGACTCCTTCCAGATGTAAATGGCGTCTCGGCTGGTTTTCTGATGTCTTCATAAATAGAATCCGATCAGGTGATCGGGTTGAGCGGCCAAGATGAGCCTAATAGAGGATCCCCAGGCAGAGTCGTCACCATATGTGATGGTGACGCCTGATTTATCAGGACGACAAGCAGATGGGCAAGTCCTCATGAAGATACCGCCTGACCAAGGGTGTTGGAGACAGAGGGGTATCTAACCAAGGGTGTTGGGGATAGCTATCTGATGAAAACTCTTTTTCCCACGAAAATGGAGTTTTAGGAAACTCCACTTAAATCCTGAAGAACTCATTTTTTTTCAAAGAAAACTAAGAGGGCAGAAGTATTCAGGATTGATAAAAACGGAAAGTGGAGGAAGTTTGTTGGCTGAACAAAACCAAATCCAAACCTGAATTTATAGAGACCTCAGAAGACAACCCAAAGGTCGTGAGAAAAGCAAAAGACACGAGAGCATAGGCATCCCGCCTAGGGAAACACAAGTTCCAAGAACAAGTATACAAGCATGCGCATATTCAATCAATGTTGGCGCCTGGAATTCCAGTCGAATTCCAGTTTGAATATTGATTGAAGGGGGCACTGTTTGGGTTATAATTTCAACCTTGGGCTTAGAAGGAAGTTAGCCCAACGAAGAGGAGGAAAGCCCGAAATCCAGCCCAAGTCCTGAAGGCAGAAGAGGTTTTCCTGACCAGGTGCAGGTCATTTGCACCACTTGCTCACCTACCTAAGGACCAAGTGGTATAGACCCACCAGCTAATCAGCCACTAAAGTACTTTACAGTGGCAATACAAGTAAAAAGTTGATAAGTCACTACCCTTCAAACTGCAGTCGGGCAAGGTTGCTGCTACAGGAAGACAAGCTGAAGTTGTTTATAAAAGAAGGAAGAGAAGTCAGGAATGAGGACACTCAAACAAACAAATACAAGCACACTCTGCTCAAAAGCCAGATTTGCCTTCAAACAAAGCTGTAGTCAGCAAGCCTTCATCCCTTTCGGGATAAACCCTTTGTAATAGCTCTGCTACCCTGTTCAACTCTTGTTGTAGTATCGATCTCTTTCTGTAAACTCATCTTCCAACCCTGTTTCTAAGCTTTCAAGCCTCTTGAAACCACAAAGATAGGAAGTTGCAAGACGATCAGCCTTGCCCGACAAGGTTAAACCTTGCCCGACCCCCTTTGTTTTTGTCTTTTCATTCACTAACCTAGAAATATGTTGTATACTACAAGTTGTATTCAAGTTATTTGTAGTAATATGGCTATTAAAGGACTCTCCCAGCACTTGAATCCGATTTGAATATGTTTTCATAGTTCAAGCCAGATCCGAGTTCTAAGCCCTCGGGCATGTAAGATTTGATCATCCAAAATTCCTTGGCCTCAAGGCATAAAAAAGAACCTTATGTGGACTTAACCCATCCACGACAAGCTTTAATAAATAAGAAGTCCAAAGTTACTTGGGGCGCAAGTAATCAATCTATCACCTAGTTTTATTTCTATTATATCGTGATTACTATAGAACGTTGAGTATAGAATGAATCCTAATAGGGAGCCTCAAGGCCTATTCAAGGCCCTACAAAGGCACCTATTTGGATTCATTTTGCTCCTTGGACTAGAACGTTGAGCATAGAAAAAGTTCTGATGGAAAGCCTCAAGGCCTATTCAAGGCCCTACAAAGGCACCTATTTGGATTCATTCTGCTCCTCGGGCTCAAATAATCAGGAAGTATAATGGATATAAGACTCATATAAACCAAGGAAACAAACCATATGTATATATTCAAATGCTAAGTTAGTTATGAACGGGAAGCCTCAAGGCCTATACCTAAGGCCCACAAAGGCACCCGTCATGACTAAAATGGTCTCTTGGGTATATATATATATATATACAATTGAAATTCAACATTCGTTCTACATCTGCCATGCTGAAGATGGCAGTGGCACGCCTGAGCACTGAAAGGTTAATCTTGATTGTGAGCCTCAAGGCCTACACCTAAGGCCCTACAAAGGCACCCTTTTAAAGTTAACTCTGTCCTTCTCTTTCAGCCTTGCCCGAAGAGCTTTGACCGACAAGCTTTGCCCGACAAACCTTGCCCAACTAAGCTTTGCCCGACAAGCCCGCCAGTAAAGCAGAAGCCCGACAGGAAGCTTCAACTGGCGCCAACCTCTCGGGGAGCTGTGTGCTCGTCGGCCAGGGAACATCCCCGACGGAAATTCCTACCACGAACAACTTGCATTAAACATTTCCATTTGGACACGTCCAGTTAGCTTTGCAACATGGAAAGGTCACAAGATAAATCATATATACCTTCTAGCTTAAAGCAAAGATTGGATGTGCCCTTGCAAAAATTTCACCCGCCCCCAGTCTTCCAAAGATGAATTGCGTCGAGTCCGTTGACCTATTGTTTAATACAGATAAAGAAGGAAAATGATAAGCAGATAATGGAAACTACTGCATGGAAAGAGCCAAAAGTTAAGCTTTAGTACCAGGAAATATAATGTAGAGTTTGAAGCAAAATGCGCGCAACACATGCATGGTCCGTAGATATGTGGAAATCTTAAATAAAACTTATTTGAGAGTCTCTCAATCGAAGCTCCCTCTATATATCTACATTTCCCTATCATGTTATACAACACTACACATTCAAATAGCATTGATTGGGTTCAAATTTAAACCCTGTACTATCCATTTACAGACAAAAAAAATCACCACATGGATGATGCAGATAGATACTTTCCACGCAACAAAAAAAAAAACCGAGAGAGAGAGAGAGAGAGAGAGATACCATTTTCATGGATATATATAGGAGGATTGCCATAATTTTCCTTGATATATTCCAACAGTTCTTGCAGGCCCCAGAGAGCTATTGGATACTGATTCAAACAACATGATCACTAGTGCACTGAAATTAATCCATAAGTAGTATTGAGCCGGTTCTACTTTATATTATGTTCAAGATTTTACCTCAAATGTTGTTGTACCATTGTCCAGTGCTGCAAATGCAATTAAACAAAATTTTGTAAGCTCAAAGGATTGCAGCTAAGCATCTAAACTAGGCCTGGCAAACGTGTCGTGTCTGTCGTGTTTATGTCATTTTCGTGTAACACCTGTTATCTTAACGGGTCATTAACAGGTCGGGTCACTTTACCCAATGGGTAAAGTGACCCGACCCGTTATGACCCATTATGACCCGTTAAGAAAAATATTTTTTTTTCTTAAATTTGCACATACCACACATTGCCACATAAATATTACTTCAAAACATTAAAACACATTTGTCGTTTAAGTACTACTTCTACACTAAAAAATAAGAGCATAATAAACAAACATCCATACACTACTAGTCTATTACAAAATATTAAATGTGCAAGGATATGCAAAATAAAAGAGTTTTTATTTTCAAGGTTGTGAAGCCTTTCTGAAAAGTTTAAACCTTGCCAATGGAACTCAAAGCTTGCATGTTATTCTTTTTACAAAATCCTCAATTTTCATCAATCATCATGACATAAGATTTTGTGGTATCCACTAGTGTAAATATTTTAAATTGAAGATCAAATTCATTCATTGTATTCATATAAGGTCAAGGAGTGTAGCTGTAAAAAATCATCAAAATCGAAGTTAAAATAACCGTTAAATCGTAATTTTTAGTTGATAACCGTCGAATTTTTTTGTCCCGTTACCTGATCTCTGAATATTTGTTTTTTTGCGATTTTTGGCGTATGCAATCTTAAAGCATATACAAACAAGTTTGACGGTTGGATCGTTGAAATTAGTTTTTTAAAATGTGTATCCCATCAAAACGTAGATTCACTAACACTTAGAGTTTATTTATATTTTCATTAAGTATAACATAAGATTTTGTGGTATCAACTAGTGTAAATATTTTAAGTTGAAGATTGAATTCATTCATTGAATTTATATAGGGTCAAGCAGTGTAGCTGTAAAAAATCATCAAAATCGGAGTTAAAATAACCGTTAAATCGTGATTTTTAGTTGATAACCGTCGAAAAGTTTTCTCCCGTTACTTGATCTCTGAATGTTTGTTTTTTGCAATTTTTGGCGTATGCGATCTCGACATATATACAATCATGTTTGACGGTTAGATCGTTGAAACTAGTTTCGTAGAATGTGTATCCCATCAAAACAATAGATTCACTAATACTTAAGAGTTTATTCATACTTTCATTATAAGATTTTGTGGTATCCACTAGTGTGAATATTTTAAATTGAAGATCGAGTTCATTCATTGTATTCATATAAGGTCAAGGAGTGTAACTGTAAAAAATCATCAAAATCAGAGTTAAAATAACCGTTAAACCGTGATTTTTCGTTGATAACCGTCGAAAAGTTTTGTCCCATTACTTGATCTCTGAATGTTTGTTTTCTACAATTTTTGGCGTAAGCGATCTCGAAGTATATACAAACATGTTTGACGGTTGGATCATTGAAACTAGTTTCGTAGAATGTGTACCCATCAAAACAATAGATTCACTAACACTTAA